GTGGTGGCGTCGGGAGTGAAGGCGGCGGCAGTGGTGGTGGTCGCGGTGGAGCCGTTCAGCGGCAGCAGCAGGAGCGTCCCCGTGAGACCCTTACGCCCCAGTAGCTTCGTGAGTGGCTTTTGCAACGCGGGGCGCCTGGGAGTAGTGGTCGCTGCCCGTACGTCATTCGCACAAGTGACCGTGCTGGTCAGACGTGCGGGAAGTTTCACACCCAGCACCGCTGCTTCTCCCGCCTTGACGACGCTTGGCGCGCAGAGTTTGGCTAGGAGATTGAGATGCCCTGCTGGGCAGAGCTGCTTAAGTCTGGTGTTGATATATTTGCTCTTGACTTTGATGCTATTATTGCTGCCATGTATGCTCTGATCGTTAGTGCTGAGGGTGACTGTTACTTGTGTGTGCCGCTTGACCCAGGTATAGAGGCTGCTGCCCTAGGTGCTAGTGAGTCTGCTCTCTTTCGTACTGATCCTGCTGAGGCCTTGCACACATTCACGCTTGACTCAGGTGCTTCTCGCTGTTTCTTTCGTGACAGTACCACAGTCACACCACTCCCTGCACCTGTTGCAGTCTCTCTAGCTAACCCCTCTAGGGGCCCACTTCTTGCACGTTCCTCCACTGTGCTCCCGTGTCCGGCGGTTCCGTCCGGTTCACTGTAAAGTCTCCACCTCCCCTCGTTCTCGACGAACTTGGTGAGCACCGCTGTCCTGCAGGATGCAGAGGTTGATACCTTCACCCCTGGAGGGCAGCGTGTGGCTATCTGCACGTGCTCCCGGAGTGCCGTCACCTGGCCATGTTCACCCGTCGGCCTGGGTCGAGTCTGTACACACTGACTACTGCGCCGCCTCAGGTCGTTGCATCTGCTCATGTGTCCGCGTCAGGTCAGGTAGCAGCCCCCTGTTCGTGTCGCCTCCTGTCGCACCAGACTCTCCTGTGGCACCACCGCCTTGGTCACCCCTCCCTGCCACGCCTCCGTGGCATGCACTCCCGCCTCCTTGTCTCTGGTCTTCCCAGGTCTCTACCTGCCCTCCCTCCCTCGCCTGCCCCGCCCTGCATTCCTTGCGTCGAGGGGCGGCAACGCGCCGCTCCTCACTCCTCCTCGTTTCCCCCGACGACTGCTCCTCTGCAGACTCTCCACATGGACGTGTGGGGCCCCGCCCGCGTCCGTGGATTAGGCCGCGAGCGATACTTTCTGCTGGTTGTCGACGACTACTCGCGTTACACCACGGTCTTCCCCTTGCGCAGCAAGGGGGAGGTCCCTGCTGTTTTGATCCCTTGGATCCGAGCTGTCCGTCTCCAGCTGCGCGAGCGGTTCCGCACGGACCTTCCTGTCCTGCGTCTGCATTCTGACAGAGGTGGTGAGTTCTCCTCCGACCTCTTGAGGGACTTTTGTCAGGGGGAGGGCATCCTCCAGTCGTTCACGCTTACAGCCTTCCCTCAGCAAAATGGGATTGCTGAGCGCTGCATTGGCTTAGTCATGGAGGTGGCTCGTACCTCCATGATCCATGCGGCTGCTCCCCATTTTCTGTGGCCGTTTGCGGTCTGGTACGCTGCGCATCAGCTCAACCTCTTGCCCCGTGTCTCCTTGCCGGAGACCTCGCCTACACTTCGTTGGACGGGGGAGGTTGGCGATGCGTCGCGGTTCCGGGTCTGGGGCTCTCGTGCCTTTGTCCGCGATACCTCCGCGGACAAGCTCTCCTCCCGCACCATTTTCTGTGTCTTCCTTGGCTTCCCTCCTGACGCGCCTGGCTGGCAGTTTTACCACCTTACCTCGCGCCGTGTCTTGCCCTCTCAGGACGTCACGTTTGACGAGTCGGTTCCCTTCTACCGTCTCTTTCTCTACCGCACTACCCCTCTCCCCGCCGCTCTTCCTTGCTCCAGGTCCCCCTCCGGTAGACCCCCTCCCCCCTCAGGGTCCTGCTCCTTCAGGTGTCTCTCAGGTAGACCCACTTCCCTTGGCTGAGCCTGTCGAGGTCACTGGTGACTCAGGTGCTGCTGGGGGTGGTGCTACTCGGGGTGCTGCGTCTGGGGGTGCTGAGCCTGCGGGTGCTGGGCCTGAGCGTGTGGAGCCTGGGGGTGCTGAGCCTGGGGGTACTGCGCCTGAGCGTGAAATTCCTGGGGGTGCTGCATCTGGGGGTGCTGAGCCTGGGGGTGCTGAGCCTGGAGGTGCTACGTCAGCTGGTGGTCTTCCGGGCGCCTTGGTGCTGCGCTCTCCCCAGCGGGGGCCTCTCTCACCACAGCAGCTGCGCGAGTGGTTTGCTCGGCGCACCCGCCTTCGGAGTGGCGCTGCTGGAGCTGCTGGTGGTGCTGGCGCTGGAGGTTCTGGAGCTGGAGGACCTGGAGCTGGAGGCACTGGAGCTGGAGACGCTGGAGCTGGAGGTACTGGCGTTGGAGGCGCTGGAGCTAGAGGTGCTGGAGCTGGCGACACTGACGCTGGCGACGCTAGAGCTCGCGGCACTGGAGCAGGTGGTGATGGAGCTGCCGACATGGGAGCTGGAGGCCTTGCCGCTGGGGGTGCTGGCGTTGGAGGTGCTGGAGCTGGAGGCCTTGCGTGGTAGCGACCGTTTTTCTTGCCGCCGCCGCAGCTGTCTGAGCTTCCGCCCGAGTCGGTACTGCGTCAGGTTCTTAGTCTTCCTTCGTCCACTGCCCTTCCTCCGGACTCACCGCTGCCTGCCCTGTCTCGTTACTCTGAGCAGCCGGTCTCCCTTACAGAGCGTCGTGAGCCTGCATCTCGTCCTGCCTCCCCTGTTCGCACTGTTCGCCGTGCTCGTCGTGTCCCGCGTCCGCGTCCTCCTCCTGTGCCAGGTACTCACACTATGGCACTTCGTCCTGGCGATGCAGCTATCTTGGCTTGCAGATCACCCGGGACAGAGCACGCCGCACCATCACCCTGACTCAGTCACACATGGTGCAGCAGGTCCTTCAGCGCTTCGGCTTCCAGTTCTCCTCACCACAGTCCACTCCTCTGCCTACCGGTCACTCGCTCTCAGCTCCACCTTCGGACGAGTCCGTAGAGCCGAGTGGCCCGTATCCAGAGCTTGTGGGCTTGGGGTGACGTTGTCCTCACTGGACACTCAGACGCCTCTTGGGTTGACGACCTGGCTACACAGCGGTCGTCACAGGGTTACACCTTCAGCCTTGGTTCCGGCTCTGTTTCTTGGCGGTCTACCCGCTCGTCTTCTGTTCTCAGCTCCAGTTGTGAGGCTGAGATCTACGCCGCAGCCATGGCTGCACAAGAGTTACGCTGGCTCACCTACCTGCTGACCGACTTGGGAGAGCGGCCTAGTTCTCCTCCAGTTCTGTACGTCGACAACAAGGCCGCTATTGCCTTGTGTCAGGAGCACAGACTGGAGCACAAAACGAAGCACATCGCTCTGCGTTACTTCATTTCTCGAGAGTTACAGCAGCGCGGCCAGCTTCGTCTAGCTTACGTGGCCACTCGGGCCAACACAGCTGATATCTTCACCAAGGCACTTTCGCCTGGTGATCATCAGCGTCTCTGTACTGCTCTAGGCCTCGTGCCTACGTTTTCTCACTTGCTCACTTCTTGACCTTGTTTTTACTATGATCTAGAAATATCCTTGCATGCTTACATTTTCTAGGTTGTGATCACTGTACTGCTTGCCGTGCTTTATATAACTCTTCATGTGAAGTGGCCTTGTGGCCCTTTGCGTGTGCTCAGAATGTGTGGCGACTTCGTGATCCACCTTGAGCTTTATTTGTTTCTCTTGACTGGTCTTGTGACCGCCTGTTCTCCCCCACTTTGCCTATGGGGGTGTGTCAAAATATATTGTGTAGGCTATAGTGGGGTAGCCCATAAGGGGTACAACCCAATTAGGGTTAGGCATATTTGTACCTCATTTCTGCTCAATGCATTCATTCGTTCCTGTTAGTTTCCAACACTGTTTCAGGACCGTTCTCGTTAGGGCCCACCCGATCGTACCCTGCCCGTCGCGCTGCCCACCAAGCGCACGTGCCCTGCCCTGCCCTGCGTTGCGCCGCCCCGCGCACGCCCTGCCCTGCCCTGCGTTGCGTCGCGCTGCCCGCGCACGCCCTGCCCTGCGTCGCGCCGCCCTGCGTGCGCCCTGCCTACGTCGTGCCGCCCGCTCGCGCCCTGCCCTGCGTCGCGCCGCGCCTTGCCTGCGTCGCGCCGCGCGCGTACGCCCTACCCTGCCCATCGCGCCGCCCACGCACGCCTTGCCCCGCGTCGCGCTGCCCGCGCCCACCTTCCTCTGCGTCGCGCCGCCCGCGCGCGCCCTGCCCTGCGTCGCGCAGCCCCGCGCACGCCCTGCCCTGCCTGCGCGCCGCCTTGCTGGCCGCGCGATGCTTGTGTTCTGCCCGTGCGCTGCCTTGCCAGCCGCGCGCCGCCCTTGCCTGCCCGCGCACACCCCTGTGCAGACGCGCGCGCCGCCTCGCTTGCCGCGCCACCGTTTTGCAGCCCGTGCGCCACCCTTGCCTGCCCGCGCGCCGCCCTTTACAGCCCGTGCGCTGCCATTCTGCCCGCGCGCCGCTCTGCCCTGCCTGCGCACTGCCCTGCCCTGCCCTACGCGCCACCCTGCTCTGCTAGCTATGGCTATACTCAGCGTTCTCGAGTTCGATCATGAGGGCCGTCCCATCCAGTTCGATACGTGGCTTGATGACTTACAGCTGTTTTTACTGAGCGATTCTAGAGACATCGTTTCGTTGTTTGACCACACGTTTGACAGTGCGACTCGCTCACAGTGGCTTACCCGTGATGCTGCTGCTCGCCTATCGCAACCACCTGCCGTTAGCCGAACGCGCTCACTTTGGCCAGCACAAGACTGCTAAGGCCCTGTACGACGCTGTAGTCGCTCGTTACTCCTCCCCTGCCAACCACTGCTCTCGGCCGCCTTATACTGCCCTACCTGTTTCCCGAATTGTCCTCCTTTGCTACAGTTGCGGACCTCATCACCCACCTTCGCATTAGCGAGACTCGGTACCGCGTCGCGCTTAAAGCCGAGTTCCTAGACAAGAACCCGCCCCCGATGTACATCACTATCTATTTCATCGTCACACGCCTCTTCGACTCTCTTCGCGCTGTCAGAGACCACTTTCTCGCCCTTGACCCCACAGACCTCACTGTCGACCTGCTCGAGGAGCGCCTCCTTGCGGCTGAGACTAGTATAGTTGCTGTAGGTGCTGCTCGTGGCATTCCTCTCACGCCCTTCTTTGAGGGGTGTTCCCCCTCCCCCCTTGCCCCCTCTGTTGCTTCTGCTGCTGCTGTCGACTTCCTTGGCGCGGAGGAGGTCGGTGCTCCTTCTGCCCCTAGTGGGAAGCGCCGCAGTGGCAAGGGCAAGGGAGGCAAGAGTGGTGGAAGTGGCGGCGAGGGGGGGGGTGGAGGTGGAGGCGGTGGAGGCGGTGGAGGTGGCGGAGGTGGCGGTGGGAGTGGTACGGGAGTGGGGGCGTCGGTGGCGGCGGTGGCGGCAGCGGTGGGGGTGGTGGTGGTTGTCATGGCGGCAGTGGGAGTGGTGGCGGCGGTGGTGGCGGCAGTGGGAGTGGTGGCGGCGGCAGTGGTGGTGGTCGGGCTGGAGCCGTTCAGAGGTTGCAGCAGCAGCGTCCGCGTGAGACCCCTTCGCCCCAGCAGCTTCGTGAGTGGTTTGCTCAGCGTGGGGCGTCTGGGGGTAGTGCTTGGTGCCCGTACATCATTCGCACTGGTGACCGCGCTGGTCAGACATGTGAGAAGTTTCACAAACAGCACCGCTGCTTCTCCTGCCTAGACGACGCTTGGCGCGCAGAGTTTGGCGACGAGGCAGAGCTTTTCCGCTGGGCGGAGCTGCTTAGGTCTGGTGTTGATATCTTTGCTCTTGACTATGACGCTATCCTTGGTGCCATGTATGCTTTGACTGTTAGTGCTGAGGGTGACTGTTACCTGTGTGTGCCGCCTGACCCAGGTATAGAGGCTGCTGCTCTAGGTGCTAGTGAGTCTGCTCTCTCTGGTACTGCACCTGCTTGGGCAGGCTCCAGAGGAGGAGGAGGAGGAGGAGGAGGAGGAGGAGGAGGAGGAGGAGGAGGAGGAGGAGGAGGAGGAGGAGGAGGAGGAGGAGGAGGAGGAGGAGGAGATGCTGGCGGAGGGCGTGAGGGAGGTGGCCGTGGCAACCGACCTGGAGGTGCTGTACCGGGAGACCCCCAACTACCGCGGAGCGGCAGCTGAGGCTGACCGCATGATCGAGCCTAGGGAGACGGCTAGGCATGCCTGGCGAGTGCCAGACCTCGGTGTTAGGGAGCATGCTGTTAGTGCAGGTGAGGAGGCCGTGACTGAGGGGGGCTAGGTAGGTAGAGATCCATGAATGTATGCATGTACCCCCTTGAAGTAACTAAGGATCGTTTAGAAGACACTACCCTGTTTATAAGAAAAACCCGGATATATAATATAAGACATATATGTCTTATCTCGTACACACAAATAGGTGTCTTATAATGAGGCTAGCCTGTTTATAAGAGACACCCGGATAATAGACAACCCCTGTCTACTATTCAACACTGTCTACTATCCGGGCGATGACGGTAGAACTTGTGGTGATCATCAGGCGGAAGAGCCTTGGTGAAGATGTCTGCAGTGTTGGCCTCTCAGTCCACGAAGTCCAAGCGTGCCTGGCCGCGTCGCTGCAACCCTCCCAGGAGAAAGTACCATATTTCCCCGGATAGAAGACCCTAGGGCAGGGCCTCAGAAGTCAGGAAATTTACCCCGAATTCCTTAAGTTTAACCCTCATTTTTTATCACGACCCTGATGCATCAACCTTTTTTTTTTTAATGACCCTGATGTTTCAGTGTTTTTTTATTTCGAACTCTGAATTTTCAGTGTTTTGTGTTTGAGGACACTGACGAGTCAGTGTCGCATCGGGGTCGACCCTGAAACTGGAAACTCCGTGATCTCGCATTTTGGCGCGTCGCCATCATTCAGGTACCCAGCGTGCACAGACGCCACCCTGCGGCTCGACCAAATTCAACTGAGCTGGCTGTGGTTCGTTAGCTAGGACCTATGCCACCCAGCGGCTAGGACTGTATTTTCTGTTGTACTGGCCGAATTTGGGCATCGCAAAGCACGAGCAGTCTGATTCGCTGTGTTATGACAGCATATCGGTAGAAAAAATAGGGGGGGGGGGGGGGGGGGTCTTAACAAAGGAAAAAAAATTATGAAACCCGGGTGTTTTCATATGGCATATTCTCTTCAAGTGTATTCAACAATACCGTTAATACATAAGTCGTGGGTTTGCTTTTGGTGAGCGCCAGCGAAAGTTGATCGCTCTGTCAAAACATGATAATGTTTGTGTTGTGTAGGGTGTAATGGGGTAGCCCATTAGGGGTACAACCCAATTAGGGTTAGTACTTGTACTCAGCTTGTTCTCAATGCATTCATTTTCGTTCAGTATTCTGACATCGTTTCAGAGCAGGTCCTGTTCCAGGACCGTTTTTTTGGGGCCCACTAACTAGTTCCCTGCCCGTAGCGCGTTACCCTGTCCGTAGCGCCCTACCCTGCCCGTCGCGCTGCCCCACCAGTCGTACTGCCCTGCCCTGCCCGTGCGCCGCCCTGTTGGCTGTCGCGCCACCCTGCCCTGCCCGTCGCGCCGCCCTGCTGGCCGCGCACTGCCCTGCTGCCCGTCGCGCCGCCCTGCTGGCCGCGCCACCCTGCCCTGCTGCCCGTCGCGCCGCCCTACTGGCCGCGCGCTGCCCTGCTGCCCGTTGCGCCGCCCCGCGCATGCCCTGCCCTGCAACGCGCCGCCCGCGCACGCCCTGCCCTGCATCGCGCCGCCCCGCGCACGCCCTGCCCTGCGTCGCGCCGCCCCGCGCACGCCCTGCCCTGCGTCGCGCCGCCCCGCGCACGCCCTGCCCTGCCCCGCGTCGCGCTGCCCCGCGCACGCCCTGCCCTGCGTCGCGCCGCCCGCGCACGCCCTGCCCTGCCCGTCGCGCCGCCCTGCTGGCCGCGAGCCGACCTGCCCTGCCCGTTGCGTCACCCTAGGGCCCGCGCGCCGCCTTGACCTGCCCGTCGCGCCGCCCCCGTGCCCGCGCGCCACCCTGCTGGCAGCGTGCCGCCCTGCCCTGGCCGCGCGCCGCCCTTCCCTGGCCGTGCGCCATCCCGCCCTGCCTTGCGCGCCTCCCTAGTGCCCGCGCGCCACCCTACCCTGCCCGTCGCGCCGTCCTGCTACTGCGCGCCGCTCTACCTTGCCTGTGTGCTGCCCTGCTGGTCGCGCGCCACCCTGCTCTGCTCGCTATGTCCTCTCTTAGTGTTCTCACCTTCGATTCTGAGGGCCGTCCGATCCAGTTTGAGACCTGGCTAGACGACTTACAGCTGTACCTACAGAGCGAGTCTAGGGACGGCGTCTCCTTGTTTGACCACACGTCTGGGACCTCTCTTGCTCCTCCCGAGACAGCTGACAGTGCGACTCGCTCACAGTGGCTTACCCGTGACGCTACTGCTCGCCTCGCCGTTCGCAACCACCTGCCGTTAGCCGAACGCGCGCTACAGCACTGTTTGACGCTGTAGTTGCTCGTTACTCCTCCCCTGCCACTGCTGCTCTAGGCCGACTCATACTGCCCTACCTCTTTCCTGAGCTGTCAGCCTTTTCCACAGTCGACGACCTCATCACCCACCTTCGCACTAGCGACATTTGCTACCGCGCCGCGCTTAAATCCGAGTTTCTAAACAAGACCCGACCCCCCCCTCCCCCCCCCCCCAATGTACATCACTCTCTACTTCATCGTCTGACTCTCTTCGCGCAGTCACGGACCAATTTCTCGCCCTTGACCCCACAGACCTCACTGTCGACCTGCTCGAGAAGCATCTCCTTGCAGCTGAGACTAGCATAGTCGCTGTAGGTGCTGCTTCTCGCGGCACTCCTCGCACTCCCTTCTTTGAGGGGTGTTCCCCCTCCCCCCTTGCCCCCTCTGTCGCTTCTGCTGCTGCTGTTGACTTCCTTCGTGCTGAGGAGGTCGGGGCAACGTCTGCTCTTAGTGGGAGGCGCCGCAGCGGCAAGGGCAAGGGAGGCAAGAGTGGTGGGGGTGGCGGCGGTGGAGACGGTGGTGGAGGCGGTGGATGCGGTGGAGGTGGCGGTGGTGGCGGTGGGAGTGATGGTGGGGGTGGAGGCGTCGGTGGCGGCGGTGGTGGTAGCGGTGGGAGTGGTGGCGGCGGTGGTGGCAGCAGTGGGAGTGGTGGTGGTCGGGGTGAAGCGGTCCAGAGGGGAGGTTCTGGCAGTGGCCAGCGGCAGCAGCAACAGTGTCTGCGCGAGACCCTTACGCCCCAGCAGCTTCGTGAGTGGTTTGCTCAGCGTGGGGCGTCTGGGGGTAGTGTTCGCTGCCCGTACGTCATTCGCACAGGTGATCGCGCTGGTCAGACATGCGGGAAGGTTGGTCACACACGTCTTGACGACGCCTGACGCGCAAAGTTTATCGACGAGGCTGAGCTCCCCCGCTGGCTAGAGCTGCTTAGGAACAATGTGGATACAGTATCTTTGCTATTGACTATGACGCTATCCTTGCTGGCATGTATGCTTTGACTGTTAGTGCTGAGGGTGACTGTTACCTGTGTGTGCCGCCCGACCCAGGTATAGAGGCTGCTGCTCTAGGTGCTACCGCGTCTGCTCTCTCTCTGGTACTTCGCCTGCTGAGGCCTCGCACACCTTCACGCTTGACTCAGGTGCTTCCCGCTGCTTCTTTCGCGACAGTACCACAGTCACACCACTCCCTGCACCTGTTGCAGTCACTCTGGTTGACCCCTCAGGAGGCCCGGTTCTTGCTCGTTCCTCCATTATTCTCACGTGTCCGGCGGTTCCGTCTGGCTCGCTGTCAGGTCTTCACCTCCCCTCGTTCTCGACGAACTTGGTGAGCAACGCAGTCCTCCAGGATGCAGGGGTTGATACCTTTACCCCTGGAGGACAGCGTGTGGCGATCTGCACGTGTGCACAGACGGGCCGTCACCTGGCCACGTTCACCCGTCGGCCTGGGTCGAGCCTGTACACACTGACTACTGCGCCGCCTCAGGTCGCTGCGTCTGCTCAGGTGTCCCCGTCAGGTCCGGAAGCAGCCCCTTGTGAGTGTCGCCGCCTGCCGCACCAGACTCTCCTTTGTCACCACCGCCTTGGTCACCCCTCCTTGCCACGCCTTCGTGGCATGCACCCCCGCCTCCTTGTCTCTGGTCTTCCCAGGTCTCTGCCTCCCCTCCCGCCCTCGCCTGCGCCACCCTGCCTTCCTTGCGTCGAGAGGCGGCAGCGCGCCGCTCCTCACTCCTCCTCGTTTCCCCCGACGATTGCTCCCCTGCAGACTCTCCATATGGACGTGTGGGGCCCAGCCCGCGTCAAGGGACAGGGATGCGAGCGATACTTTCTGCTGGTTGTTGACGACTACTCGCGTTACACCACGATCTTCCCCTTGCGCAGCAAGGGGGAGGTCCCTGATGTCTTGATCCCTTGGATCCGCGCTTCTCCAGCTCCGAGAGCGGTTCCGCCAAGACCTTCCTGTCCCGCGTCTGCACTCTGACAGAGGTGGTGAGTTCTCCTCCCACCTCCTGCGGGACTTTTGTCGTGGGGAGGGCATCCTCCAGTCGTTCACGCTTCCGGCCTCTCCACAGCAGAATGGGATTGCTGAGCGCTGCATAGGCTAAGTCATGGAGGTGGCTCGTACCTCCATGATCCATGCGACTGCCCCCCATTTATGTGGCCGTTTGCGGTCTGGTACGCTGCGCATCAGCTCAACCTCTGGCCCTGTGTCTCCTTGCCGGAGACCTCGCCTACACTGCGTTGGACGGGGGAGGTTGGCGATGCGTCGCGGTTCCGGGTCTGGGGCTCTCGTGCCTTTGTCCGCGATACCACCGCGGACAAGCTCTCCTCTCGCGCCATTCCCTGCGTCTTCCTTGGCTTTCCCACTGACGCGCCTGGCTGGCAGTTTTACCACCCCACCTCGCGTCGTGTTCTGTCATCTCTGGACGTCACGTTTGAGGAGTCGGTTCCCTTTTACCGTCTCTTCCCCTACCGCACTGCCCCTCTCCCCCCCCCCCGCCGCTCGACCTCGCTCCAGGTCCCCCTCCGGTAGACCCCCTCCCCCCTCAGGGTCCGCGACAGGGGCTGCGCCGGTACCTGGATGAATGCGTTACGATAGTGTAAAACACACAGAATTGTGCTTATAATAAGAAATTTCTGCATTAAAGAAGCACCACAGCACAACAAGAGGCCGAGGATTCTGGCATATCCCACCATGGCGACAGGGGCAGTGCTTGGTACCTGAATGAATGGGATCGACGTAAACAGAAAGAGCATAGCATTATCGTGACAGAAATATGAAGTTGCTGCATTAGAGGGGCATCACAAGAGGAGCACCATGAGAGCTGCACCACAGGACGTGCAATGTTTCTAGATAGTTGTTGTTTTAATGTTCCATAAATATATCCATTGTAGTCTAGTCAGTTAGGATACTCGGCTCTCACCCGAGAGTATCGGATTCAAGTCCGGGCAACGGAACGCCTTTGGCTGTGCGGTAGAACCCAGTTGCGTATATGTTTGAGCTTGAGGTCCGGCCGGGTGGGGTCGACCGGTCGACCTGTCACGACCCGGTCTAAATAGCCAGGTTTTTGCCCATGCCGGGTCGAGTCCAGTCCTGACCTTATACCTACAAGTACCGGTATTTGTCTAAACATCAGCCATCATCTTTAGCACTGACTCTACAGTGGGGAATGCCTGGTGGATGCCAGGCAAGCTGTGGAAGCCTTTTTCATCAACAATGGAAGGATATATCCACTGTGACACTTAATACCTACAAGCATTTATCTAGACATCAGCCATCATCTTTAGCACTGACTCTACAGTAGGGAAAACCTGGTGGATGCCAGGCAAGCTGTGGACTCTTTTCGCATCAACAATGGAAGGATAAATCCACTCTGACATCCTCGATATAAAGTCATCCACTGTGGGTGTCAGCATCGCCTCCCAGTCCACTTGAAGGGTAAGAAGGATACACCAGGTTAAAGGTAAAGAGTGTTGATGCGTACAAATATGCCGGTATAATTGACTAACACACATCGGGTATTGATCATTCTCTCAAGGTAAACCTACGGGTTAAGAGCACACCCCTACAGGCATTTTTGAATACCTAGGAATACACCCCTACAGGCATCCTTGCAACAAAAACTTGCCGTCATACATCTTCATACCGCGGTATGCAGGTAAGTGCATGACTACCTACTGGGGGGCATCCTTGCTGCTAACCAGGAAGAGACCAGGAAGGGCTGGACTTGCACACGCCCCTGTCGCTGCAGTCATATCGCCAATGTGCAACATGGAATGCAAACACTATAACCTGCATTCGAGAGAAAATGCTGGCTGTGATTTCCTTCCCAGCAGCCAGGAAGAGGCCTTGGAGCGTGGCGTATCCCACCATGGCTGCCTGTACTGCTAGTTGTAACTGTGTATGAACATATGCACACAGTCATACCTGCATTCGGGAGGGGATGCTTGCCGTGATCTCCTTCCCAGCAGCCAGGAAGAGGCCTTGGAGCGTGGCGTATCCCACCATGGCTGCCTGTACTGCTAGTTGTAACTGTGTATGAACATATGCACACAGTCATACCTGCATTCGTGGGGGTATGCTTGCCGTGATCTCCTTCCCAGCAGCCAGGAAGAGGCCTTGGAGCGTGGCATATCCCACCATGGCTGTTCCTCGTGACAGGGGCAGTGCCTGGTACCTGGATGAATGCGTAAAGATAGTGACAGTGGTGAGAGGAGAAGTTGGTGCATGAAACGGGCACAGTTTTGAGAGTCGACTCAAAACTAGTCCCTGTTACCTGGATGAAGAAGATGTGACAGCAGTGAGAGGAGAAGTTGGTGCATGAGTGGGCGGCACAGGAAGCTGCCAGAGAGGGTGGCGCTACATCACTGCCATGGCTGTTCCTCGCACCAGGGGCAGCGCGTGATAGCTGGACGAAGGGGGGTTGTGATAGTGTGAGTCCATGACAACACATGGACTTAACATGTGTACGTCCATGACACTTGAGTCAACTCAAAAGTGACTATTGAGTCGACTCAAAAGTCACAAAGGGCGGATGTGATAGTGTACAACACGTGGACTTAACATGTGTAAGTCCATGACAGGTTGCTGCATGTATCAGCACTGCTGGAAAAGGCCTAGGAGAGTGGAGTATCGCACCATGGCATATGCCACACCATGGCATATGCCACACCATGGCATATGCCACACCATGGCATATGCCACACCATGGCATATGCCACACCATGGCATATCCCACACCATGGCATATGCCACACCATGGCATATCCCACACCATGGCATATGCCGCACCATGGCATATGCCGCACCATGGCATATGCCGCACCATGGCATATGGCGCACCATGGCATATCCCACACCATGGCATATGCCGCACCATGGCATATGCCGCACCATGGCATATGCCGCACCATGGCATATGCCGCACCATGGCATATGCCGCACCATGGAATATGCCGCACCATGGCATATCCCACACCATGGCATATCCCACACCATGGCATATCCCACACCATGGCATATCCCACACCATGGCATATCCCACACCATGGCATATGCCACACCATGGCATATCCCACACCATGGCATATCCCACACCATGGCATATGCCACACCATGGCATATGCCACACCATGGCATATGCCACACCATGGCATATCCCACACCATGGCATATCCCACACCATGGCATATCCCACACCATGGCATATCCCACACCATGGCATATCCCACACCATGGCATATCCCACACCATGGCATATCCCACACCATGGCTTCACCAGAAGTATGCAACTCGCAATGGAATCATCCACTGCCTTTTCTCCTCCCCCATCGGCCATGAGTCCGCACAGGTGCTCCCAGCTCCCATCCCTCAGCTCCCATCCCTCAGCCAAGTAAGTCCTCATGCACTCTCACCAACTCGCAGGATGCCAGCATCCACTGCCCTTCCTCCTTTACTGTAGGCCATGAGCCTGCACAGGTGCTCCCATGCTGCTGCCAGCTGCCATCCCCCAGTCAATTCATTTCATCACGCACTCTCACCAGAAGTATGCAACTCGAAGAATGGCACCTTCAGTCTTGTTTGTACTGATGAAGGCTTGCAAAAGGTCGTCTCGCCGTCTCAGTAACACTCAGGTTGATGGACATCAGACCTCCGCAGCCCACCTGTTTACTAATAACAGCACGCACTCTCACCAGAAGTATGCAACTCGAAGAATGGCACCTTCCACTGCCCTTCCTCCATGCCCACCCGTCTCTCCCCCTGTCCTTATCCCATCAGCCATGAGTCCACACAGGTGCTCCCATGCTGCCCTCAGCTCCCGGTCAAACTGGTCAACGCGGTCAACGTGGCGTGTTGTGCGGATGGAGAGCTCTAATGAGAAATGGGAGGACCTGGAATGGGAGGGGCAAGGGAGGTCAGGATATGGGGATTCAAGCTCGTCAAACCGGTCAATGCAGTCAATGCAGTCAACATGGCGTGTTGTGCGGATGGAGAGCTCGACGGAGAAATGGGATGACTTGGAAGGAAAAGCACAGTTGGGGGTGGGGAAAAGAAAGAGGCTGTTGCAGTCAAGGCGGTCAACTGGTCAAACTGGTCAACGCGGTCAATACGCGGTCAATACGCGGTCAACGCGTGGCACGTGGTGCAAATGGAGAGCTCGAGGGAGAGATGGGATGACCTGGAATGACAAGCAGGACAGTAGACAGAGACTGTTGCAGTCAAGCTGGTCAAACTGGTCAGTCAAGCTGGTCAAACTGGTCAAAGGGGTCATCATAGCGCGCTGAGTGGATCAAGAGGTTTGAAAGGGGCTGTAGAGAGAGCATAGCGCCCTGCATGAATCATGATGTATGTTTGTTATGGTAGGAGTGCGTCTTATAAAGGGTACAGGAAGGGCACTCACACTTCCCGGATGAGAATCTCTGTGCCGTTGAGCGCCACCCTGTGTGGGGGGAAATGGGCGGGTGGAGAGCGAGGAGAAGGAAAAGGAAAGAAGAGGACGTTGGGAGGAGGGGGGGACGGATTGAGGCAGCCCAAGAAGAGGTCACACTTCCCGGATGAGGATCTCTGAGGCATTGAGGACCACGCTGTGTGGATGAGGGGATGAGGGGACGAGGGGACCACACCACGCTGTGTGGATGAAGTAGAGGGGGCAGTGAAGAAAGGAATAAGGGGATGGCGACGACAGAGGAAAGGGATTGATAGAATGGGAGGATGGGGTGGAGTTGAGAAGGGATGCAGTGGCTAAGAATATGGCGCGAGAAGCATGACAAGCTTGGTGGTCACATAAGCGAATTTTGACACCGATGTCTTTTTTTGTTACTAGAACTAAAGGCTACACCCGTGGATGCAAAGCCACAAGAAATAATATTGCAGGCGCTAGGTAATCAGTGATGTAAAGCACAGAGAGAAGAAATCACTTCCTTAGATTCTCAGAAGTGAGGTTTTTTAAAAGTAGTTTCCAAGAGAAAGAACTATTGCAGGAACAAGGTAACGAATGATGTAAAGCACAGAGAGAAGAACCTGACTCGAAGTGAGATTGAAGCAGAGTGTCATGGAGCGGTAAAAAGTGGTATGAAGTGGTATCAACACACATTCTTTGACAAATGATTGAAACAAAGTAACAAAATCTTGTATGAAGCGCACGTACCCAACCAGGACGAACCAATGTACACAGGAATGAGCCTACATACCCAGGAGTGGCTGCAGAGCGGCTGCCAGAGAGTCACAACAAAAACAACTGGGCACCTAAAAAACAATCGCTTGATGAGTTAAGAACACACGAGCCTACGTACCCAGGAGTGGCTGCAGAGTGGCAGGGAGTCACAACATAGAAGCTTTGGCCGACAATGTCAAACAGATCGTACTCTGTTGCTGCTGCCTCGACCTGAGGGGGGTGATGGGGCATGGGGATGGGACGGAGGAATGGCACAGTGTTACAAAAAAGAAGCTTTGGCCGACAATGTCAAACGGGTCGTACTCTGTCACTGCTGCCTGGATCTGCGATGATGCGCCATGGGGAGTGATGGCAGTGCATGGGCATGGGGTGGGGCATGGGGTGGGGCATGGGGTGGGGCATGGGGTGGGGCATGGGGATGGGGCACGGGGATGGGGCATGGAAGAATGGTATGGAGTGACAACAAAGAAGCCCTAACCGACAATGTCAAACAGATCATACCCTGTTGCTGCTGCCTCCACCTGAGGGGGGTGATGGGGCATGGGGATGGGGCACGGAGGAATGGCACAGTGTTACAAAAAAGAAGCTTTGGCCGACAATGTCAAGCAGATCATAATCTGTTGTTGCTGCCTCTACCTGCGATGGTGCACCATGGGGAGTTATGGGAAATGATGGGGCATGGGGGCATGCATGGGGCATGGGGGCATGCATGGGGCATGGGGCATGGAATCATGTGTGAGGTTTCTGCGGCATGGGCGTGATGAGTGGCATGGGCGTGATGAGTGGCATGGGCGTGATGAGTGGCATGGCAGCAGCACAGGTGAGGGAATTACCACTGTATAGTGACATTATGGTACGGTGACATGTCCTTACAACACATGAAACACCCCTTTTCAGCGGAGGGAGACATTGCATGGGTGCAAAGTACGTAGTTGCTAGCAAAAAAAGGAGAGAAAAGGCTCACTCACCCTGGCGACATAGAGGACCCCTTGATTGATTTTTCCGCTCATCACTCACCCTGGCGACATCTGCCTGTGAGAGCGGAATGCGGTGGTTGTTGGTGTTGGAGAGCACATGCTGCTGCTGTTGCATCATGCTTTTGAGGACCGAGAGGGTTCTGATGGAGCAAGGTGGGGGGAGAGCAAGCACGGGAGATCGATGTGAGTGGAAGGGATTCAAGTTGTGCTGACCGCACATGCTGATGCACTGCGCCATCATGCTCTTGAGGACCGAGAGGGTTCTGATGGGGACGGGGAGGGGGAGGGCAGGCATGCAGGGTGATTGTTGTGAGCAGGAGGCATGAGGGGAATGTGGTGGTTGTTGGTGTTGGAGAGCACATGGTGCTGCTGCTGCATCATGCTCTTGCCCACTGAGAGGGTTCTGATGGGGCAAGAGGGGAGCAGAGCAGGCAGGGAGGATCGATATCAATGTCACATGGTGCTGAGAGCACATGGTGCTGAGAGCACATGGTGCTGAGAGCACATGGTGCTGAGAGCACATGGTGCTGAGAGCACATGGTGCTGAGAGCACATGGTGCTGAGAGCACATGGTGCTGAGAGCACATGGTGCTGAGAGCACATGGTGCTGAGAGCACATGGTGCTGAGAGCACATAGCGCTGCTGTTGCATCATGCTCTTGCGCACTGAGAGGGTTCTGATGAGATGGGGGAGAGCAGACCAGGCATGGGTAACAGTTGTGAGCGAGATCAGCAGCTACTCACCCATGGTGGGCGTTTTCTGAGAATTCTAAAGACGTTCTGAAAAGTTCAATTCTATAGAAGTTCTAAAGAATTCTAAGCACCTGTTATAATAGTCGGCATATTTGATGTTCAGTTGGCGCCACACAGAGATGGCTGTGACTGAGTTGCCCACCAGAGAGGGGTCGGCACTCCTGTAGGGGAGAGTGGGGTGCAGAGGGGTGCACGGGGGTGCAGAGGGGTGCAGTGCAGAGGTATGAAGAGGGAATAGCTGGTGGTGAGTTGGCGCCACACAGAGATGGCTGTCAAGGGTAGGCCACCAGAGAGGGGACGGCACTCCTTCAGATGGAAAGTTGGAGGAGGAGGGTTGCAGAGGGGTGCAGACGGGTGCGAGGGATAAAAGGGCACACATGTGTTCAGTCGGCGCCACACATACAGCCACACATATACTGCCACACACATACTGCCACCCCCATACTGCCACCCCCATACTCCCCCCAAACCCACGTTAGCATCACCACAAAGCCTCACCCCAAATCCCTTCAACCGTACCGAAGCCTCACCCCAAATCCCTTCAACCGTACCGAAGCCTCACCTGACCCCCTCCCTCCCTCCATCCATCCACACGACCTACCCACACGCTCCCTCTACCTGCTGTTTACGATAACCACATCTTTTCTTCCCTTTAACGCATGCACACCCACCCAGCCTCACGCCTGACCCCCTCCATCCATCCATCCACACAACCGGATCACACGGCCCCTCTAATTGCCTGCCCTTCTCTCACCACCCAACACATGTCCTATCAACACCAGCGCACCAGAGCTTCTCCCTCCCCCCTTCAGCGCACACCCAGCCTAACCTGACCCTCTCCATCCACACAACCGGCTCACACGGTCCCTCCACATGCCCATCTCTTACCACCCTGACACATCCCGTTTCACACCAAAGCCTCTTACTGTCAATCAACTCACAACCAACCGCATTGCACCGCACCTGACCTTGTCCATCCACAAGACCGGCTCGCATGGTTCCACCAACTGCCTCCATCTCGCACCAATGGCAAACAACCCTCTCCACCCATCCGCTCCACACCACAACACGACAAATACTTCCCCTCTCATCTCAATGCACAACCAGCCTCACCTGCCTGAGTCTCTCCATGCATCCAGCTAACTGCCTCCATCTCGCCTCAAACCCAATCCCACCAGGTAACCACAACCACAACTCCTCTCCCCGCAACCGCACTGCACCGCACCTCACCTGACCCTTTCCATCCACAAGATCAACTCGCATGGATCCACCAGCTGCCTCCATCTCGCCCCACAGCCTTTCATCATCAACTCATATCCAACCGCACTGCAGCGCACTGCACCTCACCTGACCCTGTCTATCCACAAGACTGGCTCGCATGGTTCCACCAACTGCTTCCATCTCGCCCCAATGGCAACAACTCCTTTCATCCTTCCATTCCACACCAGGGAACCGCACTGCACCGCACCTGAGTCTGTCCATCCACAGGACCGGTTCACACGGTTGCACCAACTGCCTCCATCTCGCTCCAACGGCAAACAACCCCTTCCATCCGTCCACCACCATCCCCACCTCCTCCTCCTCATCGTCCTCCTCCTCCTCATCCTCCTCATCGTCCTCCTCCTCCTCCTCCTCCTCCTCCTTCTCCTCCTCCTCATCCCCCTTTTCTCCATTTTCCCTAACCTCTGCGATTCCCCTCCTTTCTAGAAGTTCACGCTGTTGCTTTCTCCTGCCCCACCGCCGCCACGTGGCGTGTGCTGATTGCATCACTTCCAGCGCCGTCATACCCGCTGCCCTTTGCTGCCAGCAAAAAAATAACAAATGCACGGTGAATGGGGGTAAACAGGGGTGAAGAGCGGTGACAAGGAGTAGCGGGAGTTGCATAGGAGCGAATGGCGCGTGCTGATTGCATCACTTCCGACGCCGCCATACCCGCTGCCCTGTGCTGCAGGCGGGTGAAGCCAACGTGATGCAAAAGGGAGAAGGGGGGAGAGGGAGGAGAAAATGGCAGGTGAAGAGCGGTGACAAGGAGTAAAGGGAGTTGCATAGGAGTGAACAGGCGTATGCTTATTGCATCACCTTGGCGCTCCCATCCCATGCCCGCTGCCCTGTGCTGCCAGTCGGGGAACAACTGGGTGAAAGGGGGGTAAAACAGCCGATAAAAAGCGGTGAAGACGGGTGAAGACGGGTGAAGAGGAGTGAAGGGATTCGTGTAGGAGTGAATGGGGCGTGCTGATTGCTTCACTTTCACCGCTGCCATGCCTGCTACCCTGTGCCATGCCTGCTACCCTGTGCCATGCCTGCTACCCTCTGCCATGCCTGCTACCCTGTGCCACTGCTCTCCTATTCACACCGTTGCCAGCAGCGCTGCACTGCATGCACCCACCCCTCTGCTCACCACACCACTCAATCCACTCAACTGCCCGAACCATCCATCCTACCCTTTCATCCCCCACCCCTCTGCTCACCGCTCTGCTTTCCTATTCACAACAATTCCAAAAGCGCTGTACTACAGAGCTTAGATGGATCCGTACGTCCTAACACCCCACGTAATCATACATTACAGCGTAAACAAAAACGTACACGTAAACGTATGTACACAGCACACAGTACAATATTCTCCGTCCCACCCAACCACCATCGCTCACCGCTCTCCTATTCACCACGTTGCCAACGCTGCTGTACTGTACGCGCCGACCAACAAGATCCGCCGCCCGAACCACCCGTTCCCTCTCCCTCTCGTCCTCCTCTGCCGCCCACCGAGGCGGGCGGCGGGGAGCAAAGGCAGCAGCCTGGGGCAGCATGGCATATCCGGGGAAGAGGTTTCTCGGATCCTTCTTGTATGCCCAGTGGTTCTGAAGTGGGTGGGGTGGAGGGATATGGGGCGTGAGGGGACAGTAAGGGTAAGGAGAGAGGAAAGGGAGCAAAGGCGGCAGCATGTGGCAGCATGGTAGCCGAGAAAAGAAGGGACCAAAGGCGGCAGTGTGGGGCAGCATGGCATAGCCGGGGAAGAGGTTTCGCGGATCCTTGTTGTATGCCCAGTGGTTCTGAAGGGGGTGGTGGGAGGGAACGGAGTGACAGGGGAGAATAAGGGTAAGGGGACTGGAAGAAGACTGAGAGAAGCAGCAGGGGGCAGCATGGCATAGCCGGGGAAGAGGTTTCTCGGATCCTTGTTGTACGCCCAGTAAGAAGACGGAAGGGGAAAAAAGAGGGCAGCAGGGGGCAGCAAGGCACAGCCAAAGAAGATACTCCTTGGGTCCTTCTTGTACGCGTAGTGGTTCTGAAGGGTGAGGAGGTGGGTGGGGTAGAATGGGGCACAGGAAGGGTAAGAAGAAAGAAAGGGAGCAAGGGCAGCAGTAAAGAAGAAGATGCTTCTTGGGTCCTTGTTGTACGCGTAGTGGTTCTGAAGGCTGAAGGGGTTGCAGGAATGGGGCGAAATGGGCAGGTGACAGGAAGGGTGAGGGGCACGGAGGGGAGCAAGAGAAGCAGCACAACAAAGCAGCATGTTATGGCGTGGAAGATGGGGATTTCTCGGGTCCTCCTTTTGTTTGCAGGTTGTATTGTATCATTCTCATTGTTTTTTCTGAGCAGCATTTTTTTTTTTTTTTTTAATTCACAAGGTTGTTTTTTAAGCAAGGTTATTTTCCAAAAATTCTCAAGTTTGTTTCTCAGAATCCTCACAGTTGCTTTTTTAGAATTCTAGAGGTTGTTTGTGAACTTTCTCAAAAACAAGCTGCAAAAGAATGGTGTAGAAGAAGAGGTTTCTTGGGCTCTCCTTGTGGGCCGATTTGTAGTCGGCTAAGCAGTCAGCGGTTGTGAAACAACGGATTTGAGAGCTGGAACGACAGCACAGGGGAAAGGCATAGCCATACCAGCAAGAGAATGAAAGAAAACACTCATTGTTCAACCATTCATTATGATTGAGTTTTTATCTGACTGCTCACACCAAATTGATTCTTCAGAAACTAACAAAAGAATTCCGTTGCCGGGACTTGAACCCGGGTCTCTCGGGTGAGAGCCGAGTATCCTAACCGACTAGACTACAACGGATGTCTAACTTAACCTACTAAATAACATAACACCCCTTTGTGTCCCTTCCCCACTCCCTCCCTTCCTCACTCCCTTACATGCCCTCACCAGGAACTTGGTGCTGAATGCGCCTTCAATGGAGTAGTCACTAAAGGAGCTGTCGAGATGCATTGCCGTGAATGTGACAATCCCATGCTACCTGCATGCCCTCTCCACCCCTGCACGCCTTTGCCATGCATGTCCTCACCAGGAACTTGGTGCTGAACGTGTCTTCGATGGAGTAGTCACTAAAGGAGCTGTCAAGATGCATTGCCGTGAATGTGGCGATCTCACGCTGCGAGGGCATGAGGGGAGAAGAAAAAAAAGTAGGAATCGGGGAGAGGGACAGCTGTATGAAGTAATGGGTGAAGAGCATCTTAAAAGGCGATATCTGTGAAAATAATTTACTTACAGGTCCCTACAGTGTATCATGCACAACACCCGGGAAATTTGACAAAAGAAACACCTGATTGATCCCTGAGTGGAATGGAGCTCTCCGAAAACCCATAGGCTTTCGAGTCCCATACCTTCAAGTTCCATAGCTTACCTTTTGAGCATTCTTGAAATAGACTCAACTTTAGCTGGAAGGCCTGGAAGAGGACGGCCTGCCGTGCAGAACACATGGGAATCTATAGAAACCACCAGGTAATGTACTGGAAGCCACCTGATAAATCGCTGCAAGACACCAGGTAATTTCATTCAGGGTATCTAACACGGTTTATCTGGTATATGGCCTGGAAGAGCATGGGTTGCCTGCAGACCACTTGCGAATCTACCTATAGAAGCCACAAGGTACTTC